TGACTGGTCGAATTTTAAGCACCTTCGGTGCTTAAATCGACCAATCAAATAGCATACAGCAAATAACTATTAATTATTGGTCGAATTGTTCATATAAAAAATTATGACATTCCTAATCGATAATCGTAGCTATATATACGTATACGTATTAAAATCAAACTCTCATCAAACCTAATGCTCAGGGTTTCTGATTTCGAATAAATTAGTGATGTAATTATTTTGATATCAGCAATTCGTAAAATTTATTTATTTTGATCTGTAAGCTTATTTATATAACGATAATTAATACTTTTTACGATCATGAATTTTCTTTCGAACTTTATATCTTTCATATTTTAAAATGCCTGATAGACAATTACATATTAAAGACAAATAATATTTTAGAAATACTAGTAGAAGAATAATCTAATAGTACTCAAAAAAAAAAAAACAATTGTTATTCTTGAAAAAGAAATTAATAAGTCAGCTCATTTCATCTCCGAATAACACCTATTCCATTTTCTGATTTCAAAATTTTAAAACAGAAATAGGACTTTTTAAACTCCACTTGTTTTCGAAATGAGTTATCTTTGAATCACCCTATTACTGTATTAAGTCAATTAATATTTATAAATTGAAAAACTTATTAATTTCGTATAAATGTAAAGTACGGAAGTGAATTAATAAAACTTCTTCAGTTTATATGAAAATTTCATAATAGGGGGTTTCAAAGTTAACAAATAAGTGGCGCATTTTGAAATTAAAAGAGAGTTTGAAAAATCTTAATTGTTTTTCAAGATTTTAAAATTGGAAAGTAAAATGGGAGTGTTTGGAGATCCCCATTTCATGAAATTGGAAAATTTTTATAATACTTATAAAAAATAAATAAATAAAAAGTAAAACCTTCATTCAAGTTGAAGATCAAATTGCCGGATCACTTATTTCAAATAAATACGTCATCAATTTCAATTAAAATTGGAATTCCGCATTTTAATTTTGAAAACCCCTAATATATGCAATTTATTATTTCGGACAATTTACTAAGATATAAATATTATATAATTGACAGTAAAATTTTTGACTTAATATATACTGTGGCTACGACTATCGATTATATTTTAATTTTGTTTGGCGGCGAATTCTGATTGGCTAAAGGCATTGGATTATCAATTAACACATGTTAAATGATCTTCTAAGTCATTTGAGCCTCGAAATGACCCAATGACTAGTCATTTGGGTCATTTCAGGTCATTTACCATCACTGATTGTCACTATATGAAACTATCGTAATAAATTAATAAAGAACTACAAATTATCACTTAAATTTTTTTTTTTTTTAAACTTCTTAAATAATATTTTCGAATTATCGTAAAATATGAAAAATAAGCACAGCACCCTACCCTGCTTTTTTCAATTTCAGATTAACCGGGAATAGCTTGATTAAAGATTTTATTGCTATTTCCGTTAATCTGAAATTGAAAAGGTGGAGGTTGCTGTGTTTATTCTCCATATTTTACGGTATTGATGTTTAATAATACCTCCAAAAAAACTTTTAAACAAACCACTAAAGAAAAGAAATTGAGGTCGATCTAATTCAATTGTTGTAATAGTTCTAACAGTTCATCGATTTCTTTTTTGAGAATTTTATTGCATTTTTATGAGTACGTACTATTAGTACTTCTAAAATGCTACTGTATTTATGTAGTTGTAGAAATATAAGGCATTATAAAAAATATTAATTATTGTTATTTTATATAAATAAGCTTACAAAACAAAATAAATAATACAGTCAAACCTCTTTATAATCACACACTTGGGATACAAAACAGCGTGATTGTAAAGAAGTGTGATAATTATAGAGTAAATTTATTATATTTAATACAGTCAAACCTCTTTATAGTCACCTCCTATATAAGCACATTTTCTTTACAATCACGCTGTTTTGTATCCCAAGTGTGTGATTATAGAGAGGTTTGACTGTGATAGATTGTTTTTTAAAAAATGAGCTTATAAAGAAAATGTGCTTATATAGGAGGTGACTATAAAGAGGTTTGACTGTATTTATGAATTATTTATTTCGAAATAAATACATCACTAAATTAATTCAAATCAGAAACTTGAACTTTAATTCTGAATCACCCTATTATCGTAAATACAGTATTAAATCAAAAGTCATTTACGTAATATAAAGCTAATCAATTTGTGAAGTTTCATTAATAGCTATCGGTGAAATGGGTGTCGGTGAAATATGTCAGTAAAATGGGATGTCGAGAAAGCAAATAGGCTGTCGGAGAAATGGATTCGGGGAAGTGGTCTTTCAAGGAAAGGGGTCGTCGGTGCTGTAGGTTATCAGGGAAGTAGGCTGTCAACGAAATGAAATTGGTGTCGGCGAAGTAGCTGTCAGTGAAGTTTACCAAATCCTAATGCTATCTTCCTTATGTAGATTGCTAATTAAGTCTCTAAGAAAGTTGTAATCAGGATTAAATTTAATGCCTAAGTTATATAATAACTTTAATCTGATTGCTCATCCATTTGCAATCACCTTTACGAAGTTTATATTTTTAAGAATTAGTGTATGACCTGTGACAGGCTACAATATACCACAATTCGTTTGGTCAAAAAACCTAATAATTCTTCAGGGCGCATACGTTTAATTCATTCATTACTGAAATATGTTATATTTAATAGCTAGTATACATAAATTGCAGAATTGTAGCTAATATATTGTGGTTATTTTTTACTTTTTTTATTTTTAATTTTTTGGAACGATTTCAAAAACCTAATAAACATGGAACATGCAAAATCACAACTTTAGCATTACTATATACAGTAGTTACTATAGTTATAAGTTACTATAAATAAAAAATAGATATAAATTCACTTGTCTAGTAAAAAATGAGATAAAATCAACAATAAATGCTATAAAAAAGCAGAAATACAATACATTCGTAAATATAGGTAAGAGAGTAATAGAATATTTTATCACTAAATCAACATTTCCCCGGTGTTAACTTAGTTTGGAGAGCATCATGAAAGATATTTAGGTAGACAATTTATTTATGAGGATGAATTTATGAGATTTCTCTTATTATGAGAAGTGTACAAGGGCATATGACTTCTACTTTAGATGAAGGTCTTTAGGCCTTCCTTAAATAATGCTATCGAATATACATATATGCATTCGTATTCATACCAATTTTCATACTAAATAAATTATCTAACTTTAAATAGTACCAATATTTATGAAAAAAAATCGTATAAGCTATCGCTATCTATAATAAAGATCAAAAATAATTTTATTATACCGAAATCTCTTTTGATGTTATTAATATGATCGATGTCAGACCAACTATCTTAAAGTGATACGTGTTTAGAGAATCAAAATAGAACACTAAAGCGAAAAAATGCAGGTCGTCCAAAAGAAATTTTGAATTATTATATAACAAATAATAGTACCAAAGACGTAGTGTAAATTTTCATTATTGTGTACGTCCTGCAGAAATGGAAGTTCATCTTGCAAATATTTGTCTTGATGTTCTTAAAGATATAAAAGAATATTGGCAAGAGTTACTTTCAAATAAAATTATTAATTACAAGCGAACAAAAAGCCCAAATCAAAAACAATATGATCTAGCAAAAACTATTTTAAGAGCTTTCTTTATATTTAATTGATGTAATGTTTCTTATTGTACGTACGCACGTAGTTTAAATAAACTTGTACATACATTATTGACCTATAAATAATGCAAAATTTATTAAAAATACAAAATAATAATTAAATTTGATTTTTTTGCTTTTATAATACCAAAATTAATTTAAATTAAATCTGATTTTTTTGCGTTTATAATACTCAAATTAATTTAATTAAGTTTGCAACTCCATTCAGAACTCCAAAACCTTTATATTAACTTAAATTTTTATCTTTAATATTAATCCTTAACTTATAACAATGCTCTATCCTAAATTTTAATAGCAAAATTATATGCACCAGTGTCGCGCTTTAGTATTATTCTAAAAATAAGTAGTAAGCGGTTATTTTTAACTTTTCTATCAATTGCAAACTTTTTACATGCAAAATTTGTCAAGATCTTAGAATATAAATAGATGCCACACTGAAAATACTATTCCTTTTACATGAAGTAACAACATCAACATGACATAATTATATTAATTATTTAACACTATACCTAGTTATGAATAAATTTATTTATAAAATGTATTATTCAATAATTCATTAATAAATTACAGGATTTAAATAAAATTACAAGTATTTATCACCATACTAACTCATGTAGTAATTGTAATGACCACCAGTATTATTATTGATATAATGACCACCAGCATTAATATCATTATAATGGCCATTAGTATTAACATTATTATTGTTGTAATAATAACCACCAGTATTTATATTAATATTGTGATGGCTACTTGTACTAGCGTTATTATTATTATTATTATAATTGACATTTGTAACATTTTGACCAGTAGAAGAATTTTGAGTCTGTTTTTGCATATGTTTTTGATTTTTACGCCATTCATCAAAGCTATTGGTTTCCTGAAACTTTGCAATTCCATAAAATTCTTTTTCTGGAAGGACCATTAACATAAGAAATTCTACTAAAGTTTCCGCAAGTTTCTTATTTAAAAAACAAAATTCAAATATATATTAGTAACTGAAAGAATAATATCAATTACAAATATCAATTTTGTATACCTAATACAGACATAGTAGCAATCTGAATCGGATAGTGATTTTTTATTACCGTATTGTCGCTAAATAACGCGCCGGAGTGTAATTTCAAATTTTGGCCTAAATTAAGCTTAATTCGGGTCATTACTCTAAATAACGCCCCGGCCTGTTATTTCGTGACAATACGGTACTACTATTTCTAAACTATGTGTACAAAACTTACAAAAATCGATAATAATATAATATCTCAAATAAATATATTACTTACAAAAAGTGCAAGACCTCCAACAATATTTGTAAGGAGAGACAGAAGGTCGAATTGACCAATAGTTCCATGTTGTTGGAATACAAACCGAATACTGTTTTGATAAGAGGTCATTATGAAATAATTTAATAAAAAAAAGGAATAAGTACATGAATAAGAAATACGATAATATATAAATATGGAGAAATACAGTAATATAATAATATGGGCTAGGTGCTGCAAAAAGGGACCAAATTGACAAAACAAAAGATCTTCGGAAAATCAATTTTTATGTTATAAATCTCATAATAAATCATAAGAAAATGCAAACCTTAAAGAGCAATATAGCAAAATTTTATTAATACAACTACTTTGTGTTTTAAGTAAAAAATGGTCCCAACCTTATTCTAAATTGATTTATGTGAAAGAATATCTTTTGAAAAAATTGTCAATTTGGTCCCTTTTTGCAGCACCTAGCCCATATATATGTTAATTTTCAGTACTTACCCATGTCTATTAACCAGTGTAACAGAACCATCAGTAACATTATAAATTCGTTCAACTGCTTTGTACTCATTTCCTTCAATCACTTGAGGTATATACTTATAGGTTATATCTTCATTCTAACGATTAAGTTGATGATGTTTTGTTATTTATCGAAAAATAAAATAAAAATAAAAAAAATTTAATTGTTTAGTAAAAGTACCTTATTCTTGTACTCAATTACGATAACGACTACTATTCCGGAAGTTCTGCAATCTTCATGCGCAGTTTTATTTGCACCTGGAGCCGATGATGGAGCTTTTTTATGAATAAGTAATCAATTATTATTATTATTATTATTATTATTATTATTATTATTATTATATTGATTCTGATTTAAACAAAATTCATGTGTAAATAAATAGATACTATACAATTTAAATTTGCACCAGCAGCATCAAGCATTTCTTTAATAGTGAATATGTCACCATCAGCACGAGGATTAATAGACATCTGTTTATTAACCAAAGTTAAAATATTTTTTTTAATAAATGTTATAATTATAAAAAAATCAGAGATATAAATTATTTACCCTTGTGGCATTACTAAGAGTTTTAAGTACTTGACCATCGTGAGACATAAGTTGGCCATCCAACAAACCATTACGAATTGCGATGGATGTAATCTTTCCTCTTACAGAATGTTCTATCATCATCTTTTTAACAAAAATTATACTTTAATTAACTAAATAACTAAATATCACAAATGAAATTATATGAAATTGACACATACCGTGTAATCTTCAATATCACCAATAAAAGATGTTGGTAGAAGCGTATTGCTACGGACATTTGGAGAATTTGGATCGAAAAAACACCGATCTGTCGGTGATTGAGCTTTTGAAAAGTCACAACCTGATGGTGGAACATAATTTGTCGAGCCTACTCTTGTGGTAAAAAACGCAACACCAGCACCGTCATCAGGGTATCGAACTACGAAAATTAATAATAAATATAGTCAATATAGTAAATATGGTAAATATAATAAATAAATGTCTATATCAAGTATAAAATATATCAAATTAATGTTTACTTTCATCCGCGCTCCAAAAAACACAAGGATAAGTTCCTCCATTGCAATATGAAGGTATGATAAGGTTATTTGGTGCTTGTAATGTTATTCGTACAGCACCAGGTACAGGAGGTTCCTGCACAAAAAAAAAATTAAGCATATTAATGATGGTTATAAAAAAAAAAAAAAAAAAAACATGAACCACTTTGATCATTGAAGCATAAAAGCTTTTTTCTTTATTAATCAAATGGTTTCTACTTTTTATTATTTAGTCTGTGAGCAAACACAATCTCGCTTATTGACTGTGATACTTTAAAGAAACTAATTTGATTAAATGATTAAAATGGTTCTGAATAAATATGTATATTAAAGGATAGAATACCGTCTTAAGATAAAGTTCATTTAATATTATTGTGCATACAAGATATACAACAATCACAGATTGAAATATTCGATATAAGATTCCTAATCGACGACTGATTAATGAATGAAATTCACTAAAATTAATCGTTATATCTAATAAATCGTAAAATTATAATGTCGAATAGAAATTACTTACTCTTTAACTTTGACCACTTTATAGGTTCGGTAGCTGTTGTTTCAAAAGTAATTCTTGAGTGAATAATTAAATATTATCTATAGGCAATAATAAAATTTCTTACCCAAGAATATCATATGAATCTATCATTATTCTTACATATATTTATCGAATAAAATGAATTATCGAAAAGACTTGCCAAAAAAATATATATATAAAATAATGATATGGTGTAAATTTTAGAAATATGGAATTTTTATATACAATAAACATTAATGTTACTAAAGTTGTATTCGGCTTTTTTTTTTTTTGGCTTAACTGGCAAATTGTTAATATTTATTGACCATACACGTTTCACAATTTGAGCTCAAAGCTCCTCTGTTAATTTCATAACTGACAAAGAATACACAAAATTAGTGTGTTTGTCTATACTTTTGACTTTTCTTAGCAAGTAATATTACACACAAGATCGACAGTTTAACAAAATTTGTATCGAAATCGATCATTATGAAAATTATAATCCCCTAAAATGCAACTCCCTAAAATGTAACATTAACGCGAATTCTAGAAAATGTAAGTACGTACGTACTTACATGCTTAAACTCCATGAATGTAGTTTTTTTTATTAATTGCTAAATGTATTTAAGGTCTAACTTATAATATCTATAATAATTTACGTTGAAATAAATGTTTGCGGTTAAGTTATACTTTAAAATTGCTGTTTTATGTATCTCGTTGATACTTTGTTAATTTTCCTTATGCTGATATATATTGTCGACAAAAAAAAACTTGTGAAACATTAAAGTTGGCACATGCATCAATGCGCATACACATATGTACGCACTTGCAAAATCCAAAATCCTAACTATTGTTTCAAACATTGTCCATTAAAGTCAGAAAATTAATTAATGTTTCGAATTAGAATATGAATGGGTGAAAAAAATTATATCTTTTTGGATTGATTAACCTTCCTAGGTACACTTATTTTCATTTAACGATCTTTTTAAGTTAATGCATTTTGTATTAGTCATATGTGTACTAGTACATTGTAATACCAAGAAAATGGACGATTTAAGGCCGCATTACAAACAAATAATCAAATTCGGAATTTTGTTATATAAGTTATAAGGACGTAATGTTTTCCGTTTGTATTGCCCTTAGAACAATCAACCCCCACTATACAAAAGTTTTTTTTTTTTGAATTATGAAAAAAAAACATCATTTTACTCTATAATCAAGTATTTAATTCAAATTTTATTGAACCTCCCCAAACCGATATGCATGGTGGACAGATTTTGTATCAGTATTGAGAGGTTATCAGATTTGGAAAACAT